AGGTCGTAAAAATCCGCATGAGGTGACGGCTACCGTGTCGAAGGTTCCAACTACCCAGATCGACCCTAACTAGTCCTCTGATGGCGTACTGAACTGTCTAAAGCTATGCCAAACCTATAGCTCCTGTGCCCACTAAAAGCAGGAGGAAAAGGGCTACAAAAGTCCGTAAGATCCATCAAAGCTTGAAGGGACTAAAAGCATGGAGATTTTGAAGTTAGAACACAATGATCAAAGCCCAATTCTCCCAGCTGCTTTGGCTAAAATGCGTCCCGTGTTACTTTAGATCAAACCCAACAACCTGGTATTGTGTCAGAAAGTCGCTAGGTGAACGCGCCTCGTGTAAATGCTCCTTTTACGGATAGCAGCGTAACGTTGCTGAATCTGCGACAGCTCTTCCCAGGGCACGCATGCTGGATGACTTCAGTGCTTCAAGCTGTGCGTCACAAGATGCTTCTAGCTGGTTTCCCTATTGTTACTATCAAAATGCTGATCAGACTAGGGAACTTTCCTGTGGGCATGCCAACTCCGCGACCTCGGTTACTTCGTGTAGTCCTTTCAACCCCGGCGGGAAGCAACGCGCTGCCGCGCTTTACACTTAACCTCAAGTAGGTAGGTAGACTTATTTTGAAATAAGCCAACAAATACTTCAAGAACAAGCGCGCGGCTGGTGTGTAAGGCCTGTCTTGTGAGTCATCAAGTGGTCAGCCGCAGATCAACTTCTGCCCTAGCGGAACACATCCTAATAACGCACGCTTCATAGGCTGGTCGTACTGAGTTCTTTCAAGTAGAGCTCAACAATTCGCTTGGCCTAAATCCTGGGTATACTAGGTGGGTCTACTTGTATTTGAATCACTTCCCGACATAATTGCACTAAAACGTCATTGTCCCTATATATCACGGACAATGAAGCATGTTTATCTGGCTACACGCTGCTTAAATGTGATCGTTCCGTTGTCCGGCAAGGCGGAGCGTCGCCGTTTGTGTGTGTTGTAATCTGTAGGTGTCGAGACTTGTGTTTTCTAGTCGCTGGATCAAACTTTTGCAGCTTTTTCGACCGTTGTGTGCACTTCAGCTGTCCAGTTTACTGTCGTAGTGATATATTGAAGTCCTGGAAGTACTTTCAAGGAGAGTATGGAGTTTATTCGTACCAAGATTTCAAATAGGTGTAAAATACTAGAGGATTGCTACATCCCAGAGGTCTATTGAGTGGATTTCTTCTGCGGTTCGACGATGGACACTTTCGGTTCGGAGCTCGCCGAGCCAACGTTGCAACTACAGCCTCATTTCGTGGACCTCCCGACCAAGTACATGAGTAACCGGCTTCCATCTACCTTTGATCTCATTTTTGAGAAGTCACTTGGTTCCGTGAGTGAGATTACGTACCGTTCTGCTCTAAGGTCTGGCGATTATGTCCGCATATCCTCTCCATGTGCTTTCTCTCAGTATCACCGGGCTACCGCTGTGGTATGCCCAAATATTTGTGGGCGGGGTTTAACGCATTGCAAGACGGAGTTTGAGTTCTGTATTATGAGATATTCGTGGCCGACACCGTTGTGTCAGCCTGGGAGAAACTTAAGATATATCTCACCGATATCTCAGCTCTCCACATCCTACTCATGAAGAAAAGGGTGACGGTTGCAGCCACCATGAATAGATTTTACGGGTAAATACCTACACAGGAAGCGGTCTAAGTGCTGGCAAACCTACCGAGCAGTTCCATCAGCCAGTAGCTTCGGCAGTTATCAAGAAGTCCAAAATAAATGTTGACAACAAATCAGGAGGGCTTGTCCACAGTACGAGAAAAATTTTGCGGACAAAGCAGCAACAGATCCAAAGCTATTTGTGCACCTAAAGAGACGCAGCAGTACAATGTCGTCTATACCAGCCTTATTGCGAGAGTACGGGATCCGTATGCATACCGACTATTATAAGGCTTGTAAAATTAGCAAACATTATACTGGTGTCATTGCTTATGAGACGCGTTTTCTGCAGGTTGAGCTAATCACACTAGTCCTGACATTATGGTAACGGAGACTCAAGTCTTCGGTCTAGATCCCTTAAAATCTTCTGACACTGACTCAATTCATCCGAAGCTGCAACATGAAATGGCCGCGCAACTAGGTGGTTCCTTTAAATGCGCGTTTACAACATTGCTGGACAGTTGTGCCTTGCCTTCGGAACGGAAGGAGGCAATCATCTGTGTAATTTTTAAAGGTGGTGTCCGCGAAATATCGGCGGGGCATCTTGACAAGCATAACAGTCAAGTTGTCTGAAAAACAGGTGACGCATTCGGTGGATAACCACCTGAATAAGCTTAACTTTCGCAGTGCTGCACAACACGGATTCCGTGAGGGATTTTAGTGTCTGTCAATGCAAGCTAGCCACTGTATTGACGTACCCTTAGTCGACTTCTGAAAAGCTTATGATACCTTCCCTCATCTACGACTCTCACTAAAGTTGTGGTCATATAGGATATCTAGTGGTACCCTTAAATGGGTGTCTGTTTTTCTAGAGGGGATAGGACAGTGTATATGCGTGGGGCGCAACCTTTCGCTTAGGCAAGCTCTTCTTAGCTGTGTTCTTCAGCGTTCGGTTTTAAGACCATTGCTTTGCGCACTTTATGTCCATGACCAACCCCAGGACTCGAGCTTCTGTCGCTACTGTTTGCTGACGAGCTAAAGCTCTGAAATGTTGTGGATATCCTTGCGGGTTCTGATGCAGCTCAGAGTGCCTTGGATTATCTCCTTGATTGGTCAACCTTGTGGTTGTTGTCCATAAATTTGATGAAACGTTTTATTTTCTGCATTAGAGCTTCTAGTCCCCCAAGCGCTATGTTGTTGATGAAAGTGAAATCCCTGTTATCACTCAGCAGGTTAATCTGGGGTTCCTTCACGCCTCAGTCATTCACTTTGAGGACAATTGGAAGAAAGCTGCATTTAGTGGAATCGGTATGATCTGGTTTCTTCCCTGTTGCTTCGGTATCCTAACGGCCGATATGTTTGCAAAGCTTTGTTCAGCTTTGTGCGACCCCAGTTAGAAGATTGTCCCCAGGTTTGTTCACCATGTCTTGCAAAGGGTAAAGCGGAACTAGAGAGGGGTTTGTGAGTGGGTACAAGGTCTGTGCGGTGTTTACGGTGCCAACCGTATCCCGAACGTTTGGTTAGCTTGGCAATGTACTCAATGCACTACCGGCTAATCAGGCAGGAGTTGATGCTTAAGCTTAAGATCTGTCTAGACCTGTCCTAGTTACTAAGTCTCGCTAAGCTGCCTAGTCTCCGCGCCACCCGTTGCAGCTGTAAAAACTGCGTTCTGACCAAGGTAGGACGGGATTGGTTTGTCTCTGCGTGTTATTGAAGTTTGGAGCTCGCTTCCAGAACACGTCGTTAGGGAATCTACTCTTGAGAGTTTCGAGCACCAGTTTGATGCTCTTGGGTTGCAGTAACAAACCGTCACCTTCTCCTAACCACCTTGACTCTTCAGCTTTCTGTACCTATTTCCAGTTCGTCTCACAACTTGGTATTGTCGTTATTTAGTTGATAATCCTCTACTTGTTTCATTAGCTTACCATGCTCTCCTTCTTACTTCATAGGAACCGGACTGGAAGTATTTTCTGGGCAGGAAAATAGTGACGGTAATTGATTTGTCATAGTGGGATGTGGTATTTGTTTTAGGCTTTACAACATCTCAAGCTGACGTAACAGTTCTCGGTTCAACAACACGCAAAAGAAGCAACATTCACGGGATTATCCTATAGTTCTGGTCCCAATGGAACTTGAACTTAAAAGCTACACTGATAACCGCGGAGTGAGACGGAGACCGCTTACCAATCTATCCACTTAGGGTGTGAAATTCACCTCAGCATTTCTACCGGTTCGAAAACTTGATTTAATGAAGTGCAGACAATAGACTGTGTCACCGCAATAGTTCCAGTGTATATTATTCGATATAATGCCTTAGAGTACCATTAATTGAACAAACTTGTTCCACCGAGCGACCTCATAGTTGGTAATTGGCTGGGCTATTTGGCAACAATGCAATTGCACTGATCTTATGGTATCCGTATGGGTAGTTTCAGGGTTATTCGTTATAGTCCACTTACGCCTCTAAGCACACGCCATATAATGTACAAAGCCAGCAACCAAAACGAAAGCTTCATTGGTCCTTCAACAAAGAGTCTTCGTGAGCATCAGCTTCTTGTGATTATCACTGATACACAGTAACCCATTTGTGAACACATGACCGATGACCAAAGCTTGGTAATAGGCTTCTCCGAGTCACTTTTGATGCCACAACTCAGCACTGACGTCATGCCGGCCTTTTCTGACTAGCAGCTTTGCTAAACTCACATCCAGTTTACAACACATAGGTTAAAAAATAGATATTTCCAGGACGATTTAAGGGAGCTTTTTACTAGGCCATATCCATGCGATCCAACGTCAGAATGAACCGATTGAAGGCCAGAAAGATAGAATATGGAGAAGGTCTGTGGAAATGTCACGAAGTAGTTTGGTGGCATTGTTACGTTCACGAAGGACATGCTGCTGGTCCATTTGGTGGTTGGATGCATTTTTTGCAAAATTCGTGCGCTCGTTACCCTTCGTAATACATCCCGTTTTTCTGACAAACTAACTTGTCAGTCTCTATGTATGTTACTCCGTCAACCCTCGATTGCGCGGGTTCAAAGGGAAAATCCCTATTGAACGGATGCACATTGGTCGTACACTCGAAAGGACCCGAAGGGAACAACTGGACATAGAATTTCAACATTTCCTCCTAGGTCGATAACTCAGGTTCTACTGCGACCCGGGCAGTAACCAAGATTGATAAAAGAGAACCGTTGAGAGGTTTGAGTAAGCCAGTAGATATGGGTATGAGGATTGTTACCGCGTGCAGTTCACCAACATACTTAAACGGCTTCTATCTGCCTCAGGTTACCTTCCGGATCAGAAGTGGGAGGTATTAAATTTACTCACAGATTCGTTAATTCTTTGTTAGCTCACCTTGAATATGCTCACTCGCCGCAACGTGTCGAAATGAACGTTAATTGCAATTTCGGCCTTCAATTTGTCTGGCAGTGCGTTCAACGAATCCTCTTCAAGCGATTGTTTATTGGTCCAGAGGTAATCAAACCACCGGATCACTTTCATCTCAAGTTCCTTGTTCACTTTGCGAAACTCCATGTACCTATGAGGTAGATAAGTAAAGAATAAAGGAGCAAATCAGCCAAACGCATAGCACATGACAAGCCCAAACCACGCTCTTTATCCAAGCCACGTGAGAGCAAAACGACAACAAACCAGTGATATCCGCAGAATAAAGCTTGTGTACAGAAATTTCAACCTGAATGCGTTAGTGATTAACTGCGTAGTCGTAAATCGCAGTGTCAAGATGTTAGACTGCAGGAGTTTCGATGGTTATATTTGCGAGAAATCCCACGCTGCGCGTAAATGTCCGCTTCCACCTGAGTCCTCAACACTTACTATCACGGTATCATTCGGCGATTTTCTGATTAATATCACTTGGCTTGGAGCGCCGGTGGCCACCCAGCATTGGTACTACGCTGGGGTCCTGAGTTATTGTAAGGGCACATCGTGTTTTCTGCAAGCAAAATATAGGCTCTGGCCCCTCCAACTTGCGACAAACTGAGGCATGCATGTCTGAATGTTTAGATTCCTTTGTTTACTGCTTTACCAGTTAACATACATGTTGTTAATTGGTGAGGTAGCCGAGAGTAGTCTAATTATGACGAATATGAAATCTGATGATAGGAAGTGCTCACGCTAAGTCCGCTTGTCAACATAATAATTCGCAGCGACCGACTGAGCATACTCCTACGTAAATGATCAATACCACAGTCAAATGGCTGTTGTCACATGCTGAAAATAGACAACAAATGATTTCTTAGAAATCACCCATGTGCACATGAACCGGATGTCATAAATCATGAGTAACCTTAGCCTGGCTTGAATCACTAACCAATTCAAGTACTCTTCCTATCTGAAAAAGCATATATCGCCTATGAAATCAATACCCACTTGGTGAACATTTTTACCCAATAGCCGCTCACCGTTTAACTCTGTCCATTCGGCTCTGAAATTCTGTCTTCGCGGCGTTCATATTCGTAATCATGGCACCGACGTTACCAACTACAGTGGCGAATATGAGCACTCCAGCCAAGAAATCCAGTGTAATAAAGATGTACTCCGCATTCTGCACCGGCTTGGGAGTCTCCCCAATGGTAGTCAATATCAGGGTGGACCAATAGAAGCTGTAGACGTATTGAGTAAACAGTCTGTCCCAACGCTCACTGTAATTATACCGTGTTTCGGTCATGTCATCTGACGGTCTGGGTGGGTAGACGAAGGAATTTGCTCCAAGACCTGTACATAAGGAGACGCAACACATAGTCCGATTTGTTAATGATTCATGGTAGATACATGATTGTTTGATACCAAAATGAAAATTTTTAATTTAGGATTGCCTGCCCAGTACGCAAAACCACCAACCCGCGAGACTCTTATTTAAGGTTATGTCGATCGTCTGGATAAGATGACAGAGCTGATGATGCCTCGCCGTTCCATTCCGACGTCTTCAACACCGGTAACGCAGAAGATGATCAATTTGCTACATGCCAGTTGTAACAACACAGCTGGCAAGACACAGCTAGGTGTCTGTAAGCGGCTGAATGAGAAGACACGAAATAATCTGAATTCAGGTTATCCCGCATAAATGCTGTTCGTTCTTGCTCTCTTGCGAATTCCTTTTGTTGTAAAATGCTCTCGTACTTATCATATTTTCTATGTGGAACTCTGTCCAATCTTTTCGTATGTTAAGGAAGATCACTGAGCGCAAAAGAACATGGTCGTTCCCCTGCTATATGGTTCATGAAGTCAAGTTGACTGATTACACAACATAGAATCATTTTGACAAACGCCATCGTATTTGAAATAACAGATTATTGCACACCTATATCGCGCTGAGAGATAATGTGCCTTACACTGTTTGGCGGTAGTTCGAACTTGTACGATTGCCATGACATTTGTCACAAATTGTTAGGTTTCGAGCGGACTACTATGATGAAAATCGCACTGTCTAAGAACCAAGCCGAGTTGACGTCACTGGTTCAGGACGAACCTTGTAGCTTGCATGGAAAAACAGAAGTTCACACAATTCAAAGTCACCTTCGCGCAGAAACGGAACAAATTGACTTGTTCAGAAAGGTAAGGGCGCAATTTACCAAAAGTAAATTTGAACACACAGTTGTAGCAGAACAGTCGCGCTTATAAGCTGTACGGCCTAAAAAGAGCACTCTTATCTTTCATGTACAATTTACTTGTTGACCGATTGTACATTATTATTTCATGTTTTATTCGTCCTTACAACCGGTTCGGCACTCGATTACCCTGTAAGTTCCCGCGCTCACGTGTTCGCTCTTGTCTCGCTTCATCCATCCGCCTCTTCTTGTAGCCCAACGAATACAGTCCGCTGTATCGGATCCCGATTGCCTTCTGACATCCGCGCTTAATTCCGCGCAGCGTCTCGGACTAGTATTAACTAGCCCTATAAATTTGTGAGCCCGATTCGCACGAGGGAATTCAACTTTTTCCTCGTTTGTAATTTTTGGTGAGTTCGTTCCTTTTTCTCGATTATATACCTGTATACATTTGTTTCCTGCGTAATTTTAGTACTTTTATCGTGTTTTTGTTCATCCTTTATCTTTTCTACTCACATTTCGAGAGTGGCATCTGAGTCGTTCTACAGTGTAAAAATGCTTACGTTGGCTGTTCCAAGTTTCATGGAACACAGCCAAGAGGTTTTGGTTTACGATATTCAAGATCGAACTGGAAAATAAGTGTATTACGGCGGACCGTTCGAGGTACAAGCAACTCGTCCCACGCCTTCCTCCGTCGGTTGTGACGCTGCTTGAGGACATTCTACTCTGCCCATCGAATGAAGCAAAGTATGAAACAATGAAGCAAGCGATTTTAAAAGAGTTACGGCCCAGCGCAGAGGCTCGATTTGAACAGCTCAGTGGTCTCAAGCTTGGAAATCGCAAGCCGTCGGCGTTGCTCTGCGAACTTCAGCGCATCGTTGGTCCCTTATTCTTGAGCGAAGAAGGGATAAAGAAGCTGTGCTTTGCACGTCTCCCAGAGCCATTGCCGGTAATGCTGTCCATGTTTATGGATGCACCCCTAAAAGAATTAGCTACCAAGGCAGACGCTGCATTCGAACGTTTTCTGCAGCAGACGACCACCAGCTCCGGTGACGTATTCTTACCGATGAAAACCGAATCCCCTATTTTCTCCCAGTCGTCAGGCAAATCTGACCATAAAGGCGAGGAAATTGCGCTACTTCGAAGCAGGATAGCAGCAATGAACACTTCGAAGCGGCGTGTGCCACGGTCAAATGCTGACCACGTTTTGGTTACCGTTCATTGCAGCTCGTCTGTGCCTGCACCGAGTACGTCTCGTTCGGCACGAAAGCGCAACATTTTTCCTGCACGTTCTCAGTCAGATAATACCGAACCCGTCGAAGGAGTGTGTTGGTATCACCGCCAATACGGTGGAAAAGCTAGACGTTTTCGGGCTGCCTGTATTAGGTACGACCCTGCTTCTTCAGGGAAAGCGAATAGCCCTCATATTAGCACCACCAAGGGATCCGCCAGTAAACAAGTAAATCGCCTGTTTTACGTTAAGGATAGACATTCTTCCATCACGTTCCTCATCGACACGGGAGCGAAAGTCATCGGCATCCCAACGACCGTTAACGACCAGCACTCAGAGCCTACATACAATTTACGTGCCGCCAATGGTTCCCCGATAGCTATATTCGGTCAGGCCATGATGAACCTGGACCTCAATCTTCGCCGAGATTTTCAGTGGGTCTTAATGGTTGCTTCTGTACCCTTTGCAATTATCGGTCTCGACTTCCTTCGACGCCCGCGTGAACTTCACTCACCTGATTGTCCAAACTAGGTTTTCGAATAGACAAGTGGAACACACGTCCTCTTGCGTGTACTATGGAAGGAGTAACAGGTGGCTATGTGGGGACCTCATGTTAGTCTACCAGATACGGTACGACCACACTTACACATGTCACCACCTACTGTAATTCATCACGAACACAAAATTCAGAGGCAATAGCCTGAAACTAACCAACAACACAGCCGGCTTTTCAGTAAGGCTGGACGAACCTCAGCACATAGAGACCCAGTGATTTCGCCATTAGTAGCCGTCTAACGTTGCAGTGCCTACGCTGTTTAGGTGCTCAAAGACAGCCTGAAAGTTAAGAATGCTATCCGACCGGAAGCGGCATTAGCACCATTTGCCAGCGAATCAGTTTAGTAGTTAACACATTTGTAAAAGAGGATAATACTGTTAACAGAAATGCATTGGAACGACCATTTAGGTTAGAGAAGCTTAGGTTCAAACTGTCCACCTGCGTTCTGCTTGCAGTGCAAAAAACCGCTTGATGCAATTGGTGGGCACTTTCTCCAATGTATCCCTCATGATCGCATGACATTCGTTCATCATATTTTCTTTCAGTTAATCCAACGTAGGCGGCCTTGTTTTGTACACTGGTCGCTTCAGATGGCCCTACAGCAAATATCCATAGGGTACGAATGTGCTGAGCGAGCTGGCCACTTAATTGGTTCGTCACATCCGATCCAATGGTGATCAAATTTGTCGGTGTGGTAAACACGCACCGTTTATGCAGAATCTGTAGGTGCACCATCCTGCTGCCCCTTCGGCCTCCAGCTGTGGAAGCACAAATGTCTGCAGCATCTCCAAGTACGACGATGCTAGGAGGATAAGGATTTTTACCGCAAAACAGCAACCTACCGGTCACATTCCAGGAAAAGAATTATGGGCCCAAGATTTTCTGGCTTGTTAGTGCAGTCCAAAAGCCATCAGTGTCACACTGGGATGCATACGCAAAACGGTATATTTTCGTGGATTGCTGGTAGACAAGGCGTAATGCTGCATTGTTCCATGCAGATGAAACAGTGCCTCATCTGTAAAAAAGACAGAACGAATATCCCTGTGATCCAAAAAGCAGCGGCAAAAGTCACGCCGCTTCGCCGGATCGCAGGGGTTCAATACCTGCACTTGAAGTGCACGGAAGCTTCGAAACTTTTATTCTTGTAGTATCTGGTTTAACGCATATCGGGTCGGATCACTGTACTGTACGATCCGACGAATCCTGTAATCGTGACATTTTGACAGTTCCCTGCCTACAGCGCAAGTTGAACAGCCGTCCGTGATGATGCGAGGCGGTCCAGTCCTCTTCAAGTCACACACACCCAGTTTGCTCGAAGTTCTTCAATAGTTTAAGCACGTACCGCGCGGTGACGGGAGGCGTACTTGCATTCTTTGCATTGCATATTCGTGAAGTTGATGGGGGGTTTAAATCGCATTCACCGTACAGCCGAATAAGCAGCGCGCGCTGAGTAACGGGCACATTACGTGATCTTGCCTGCAGTATCTGCTCCTGCTCCATTACCTGCGGCAGTGGTTCAATGACGGTGACAACAGTTTCAATGCCTAACCACTTCCTCAGCTGAGACGCCATCAGTTGCGCACGTTCGCGCCGCAGTCTTGGTTGCCGACGTCGACTTCGTTGTGTAGCCTGAGAGGCACACATATAACCATCGATTACTCCAACGTCTACGGTTGGCCATGACCTACAGCACTCAACGCGAGGTTGGCTGACAGCTAACGAACGCCGGAAATACTTTGTAACTGTTTGTACTCATCTTGCTGGATGACCAAAACCGCGTTATGTCTGTGCGTCTTCAGCATATTACGCTTGCATGCAGCTGAGCCCTGCACTAAATCACTAGTCTGCAGAGAATTCCGTACATCCTCACCACTAAGGTGAGAAAGAAATTCAAGGCTCTGCAGGCGCGGTAGCATTTTGCGAATTTCGCTAAACATTGGATGGCTACTGGATGATGGGGACAATAACAGTAAATAACCGGAGTTCACCGTAAGCGAGCCAAGGTAGATACATGAACGCTAACCGGCCTTCTGCCGTCTGTCTTACTGTATATTGAGAAGAGGAGGGTTAGCCAGAATGCTTTTGGCATTTACTAATGCTCACCCGAGTCACAATGAGAGCTTACAGCCTTAGATGCAGAACGTTGTAGGCATGCTTGTAAGGCGTCATCAATGTCACAGCAGGTTGTGTGGAGCTTTCCTTCACGCAGGGGGCACTGAACAACCTTCTAGTGGAAAGTAATGCGTTTGCCGTAACCTATGCACTTGGATGCCATAGAAGTTTGCTGTTTTAAGACAGAAACCTCGAAGAATAAGGAGCCAGGAATTTACCAT